AATTAGGGAGGCTCTAGGGATGTCTTGGGGTTGTTGTTTCCCTCCACCACCACTGTTTCAGTGTCACCTCAGGCTTGTTAATAAGGTGCTGAAACTTGTATACACTGAATATGTTTGAAAATAGAATCATGTGGTTGCCCAACAAAAAGGGTAAGAAAATTTAAATTATCCCATACCACCACTGTGATGATTTGGAAATTTGGTTTGCCACTAAAGGGCACATCTGTACTCTGTTTGAATTAGATGGTAATGGAAAATGGTCTACTCTAAGGAACCCGAGCTTTATCTAAAGCTTGCCAGATTTACTTATATTGCTTTAAAGTAACTGGGATGAAGAAGCAAAGAGACCATGGAAAAAGTTAAGCCCATAGTTAGAAAAGTATTGTTTGAGTTGTAGGACCTTACTCTACAATATGATTTCATAAACAGTTCAGTTTCATATCCGGTACATCTGTTTTCCCATTCGCCAAATAGGAATAATAACTGCTCATTCTTTATCCTTAGAGAATATTTTGAATATAACTAAAAAACATATCTGAATCATGACTGTAAAAGGCGTATATAGAACCCCACTATAATTTGACTTATTAATCAGTGTTGGATGTACCATGCATTAAATCATGTACTTAAATAATATAGTTGCATAGACTAAAAGCCTGATTTAGAATGGTTAACCTTCAATTTAAAATGATTGATAGCCCTCTCTCTCAAAATAACATTTAACTTTTAGGATTTCTCCAGTCTGCTTAAGAAAAAATTAAAATACAATGTAAATTTACATGTTAACAGTTTATTTATTTTAAAGCATTAAACGTGATTCCTTAAGCTTGTAACTGGCATACATATGCCTTGAAAAGTAACCTGGTGATATTTTTCATAATAGGTTATCAATTATTATAGTAAAAAACAAAAGGAAAGATGTAGCAGGGAGTGATTTGAATTCCTTGAGTTGGTTATAACACCATTGATCTTAAGTATGTCTGTTAAATTGAGTGTGATTATCCTATAGAAATAGTCCGAATGTTGGAGAAACCAGAAATGAAGCCTGGAGTTTCCAGTTATAATATAATTTTATAGTGGCAGCCACAATTCCCTGTGATCTGTATTGAAAAATCAGTTTCAATATAACTGCCACAGAACTCTTTGCAATTAGAATTAACTATTGTGTAGCATTTGAAGTCATTAATTGCTACGTAAACTCTTATTTATTATCACTATCTAGATAATTTATAGTTTGAATTAATCAGATGGATGACAACTAAGTACTAATGATGGGAAATTCTTTTATGCTGTAATAAAAGCTATTCTGAGTCTCCTAGAAACTGGCATTGCTTGCATTTTTATCTCTCGATACAAAACTTGGAAACAAAGCCCTAATTTTACAGAGAGAAACAAAGCAACGTTACTCATTTTCTAAAAGTCAAGTTTGGTTTGGTCAATTTAATGGAGGGGAACAGTAGTTTAAAGACTCTTATACAGTGGGTAGTTAATACTATTTGTATTTTACAATCTTCCTCTGTTTTACAAGGATGTTACTTTTCTGTTTAAGATTTGTAGTTTCAATACTTACAGGAATTCAGTTGTTTTTCAGTTCTATCTGCATAATTTAGGTAAGTGACTACAGTAATAGACTCATTTGGGGGGGAGGGGCACTGGACATGATTTGTCTGGAGTAAAGGCAGCAGTCCGCTTTAACTAGATTCTTGTAACCAAAAGTTCCAAGCTATCACCATTTGCTACAGGAGACTTTACTGAATAATTTAAAAACCTTCCATTAAATGCTAACCCTGAAAGTTGACTCTTTTAAAATCCCACTGAAACAGAGTAATGTTTACTATAACTGTGGGTTTGAAACCAGTTCTCTTGCCATATCACTACTTTTCCCTAAGGAAAAAACAGATGCTACCAGGTAAAGTATAATGCCTTGCTTATATAAAGCCAAATGGTTAGGTTATCCCCAGGTATAGGTGAGTTCAAAAGTCATATTCCTTTATCAAAATAAATAGTGTAAACGATGATCTGATCTCTGATTATGAGTACTACATACATATTTTAATGAACATTAACAATGTAGTACAATTGTTAGAGGAAAATACCTATATCTATTTGTGAAAGAAGTTATGTTTACTGTTATGCAACTTATTTTATTTATTAACACTTGCGTTGCACCTGACTGCCTCCTCTACCCAGCTCTTTTTGCTTCTCAAAGGAAAGGTGTTTTGAAAATAGGTGGTATAATGTGACTACAATAGTCATTTGTTTGTTTTCCCTAACAAGAAAAACTGGCAGCACACATGCCCTTACACCACAGATATTAGCCTTGAATGGAGGAGGTCTCTGCTGAGAAATGTGACTTTAGCATTTTACTTCCTAAAATTTGTAATGATTTATTTTAAAAAAGCGTAGACTTTGACCACCTTGGTTCAAATTCTGGATTTATTCGTTTGCTAGCTCTGTTACTTAACTGAGGCTCCACTTCTACATCTGTAAATTAGCAGAAATGCTTCATGCTACTTAAGGGAGCTGATCGGTGTAAACTTCTTCAACACAGTGCTGCTGACAAAGTAGATAGTAAATGCTCACTTTCCTTCATACTCTTAGGAACCTTCTTTCTAAAGGAGACTTGCTGTTTTTCTTTCTGAATGAACTTTGAAGAAACATACTTGAACAGTGTAGCTAACTGTACTACAAGGATTTTATGTTTTGGATAAAAAGTGTAAATAGAGGGACTTCCCTGGAGGTCCAGTGGTTAAGACTTTGTCTTCTAATGCAGGGGGTGCGGGTTTGATCCCTGGGCTGGGAGCTAAGATCGCACATGCCTCGTGGCCAAAAAACTACAACATAAAACAGAAGCAATACTGTAACAAATTCAATAAAGACTTTAAAAATGGTCCACATCAAAAAAAAATCTTTAAAAAATGTAAATAGATATCTTTATATAATTGATCTCTGCGTTTAACTCTTTCACTTTTCCTTTGGAAACAAAATAATCTGGTGGTTAATTCCTCAATTGCCACTTTTCATCTTTTTTCCTTAGGGGTACTCATCCTTTGCACTGATACGTTTTCTCTGAGTCTTCCTCAACAATGCCAACATATTTTCTTTCTTTTTTTTTTTTTTTATAGTTTCTTTAATTTAATATACATAAATGGGCATTTGGGCTACTGATTCAGTCCGCTCCCTTATAAACATTGCTATTAATACCTCCTACCTGTCCCCTACTGCATTCTTTGTTTGTTTGTTTGTTTGCAATACGCGGGCCTCTCACTATTGTGGCCTCTCCCGTTGCGGAGCACAGGCTCCGGACGCGCAGGCTCAGCGGCCATGGCTCACGGGCCCAGCCGCTCCGCGGCATGTGGGATCTTCCCGGACCGGGGCACAAACCCGTGTCCCCTGCATCAGCAGGCGGACTCCCAACCACTGCGCCACCAGGGAAGCCCTGCCAACATATTTTCTTACTAAGAGCTGTAGCGCAGGCCATTAAAAACTTTGACTTTTTTAATCAGTTGGCTCTGTTCTTTTCCCTGTTCTTTGTTCACTGGTTGATTACCTTGGTTAGCTGTTTCCTCTTTTAAACTTCAGAATCAGCGGTTAAGGTGAAAACCGAATTACTTCAGACTTTTCCATCATGTTTGCTTTTAACCTTTTCCTCATGTTTGTAAAATGTTAAAGTAATACTTACGTATAGCAATATAAAGGAAAACTTTACTCTCCAGAGGTGACTAACCCCACTGTTAAAGTTTGGTTTCCTACTAGATCTTTTCCATGCCACATTCAATCAAATACACAAACACACATCCTATTCTTTGCCTTTCTTTTTACACTTATATAATGGACGTCTTATATCAGCATGTGTATTCTCCTATTCTTCTTAATGGCTACCTAAGTATTCCATTTTATGGATTTATTATAGTTTACTTATCCCTTATTAGTAAACACTTGGGTTGTTGGCTAGTGTTTTCTGGTGGTCATGTTATATCCAAAGCTACAGTAAGCGTTGTAGCATTGTATGTATATATTTTCCTACTTGTGTTAGTATTTCTACAAAATAGCTTCCTACAAGTGGAATTGTTGAGTCTAAGAGGGTATATACATTATAGTTTTTTGGCAGGTACTACCAAATTGTCCTCCAGAAAGCTATTCAGTCAGTTTATGCTCATACAAGCAATGAATGAGAATGAATGCTTATTTCCTCACACCCTTCTCAATACTGGATTTTATCCATCTTTTCTGATAAATGAAAGTAGTATCTTGTTATCTTTTATTTCATTTGATTTAGTTTGAAATTGAATCTTTTTCTTTTTTTCTTTTTTTTTTGGTCATGCAGCTTGCAGGATCTTAGTTCCCTGACCAGGGATTGAACCCGGGTCCTTGGCAGTGAGAGCACAGAGTCCTAACCACTGGACCACCAGGGAATTTCCAAGATTGAAATTTTAATCATTTTTATATGGAGATTTTTTTAAAATTTATTTTTGGCTGTGTTGGATCTTTGTTGCTGCACACAGGCTTTCTCTAGTTGTGGGGGGCAGGGGCTACTCTTTGTTGTGGAGCGTGGGCTTCAGTAGTTGTGACATGCAGGCTTCAGTAGTTGTGGCTTGCGGGCTCTAGAGCACAGGCTCAGTAGTTGTGGCACATGGGCTTAGTTGCTCCGTGGCATATGGGATCTTCCCTGACTAGGGCTCGAACCCATGTCCCCTGCATTGGCAGGTGGATTCTTAACCACTGTGCCATCAGGGAAGCCCTATATGGAGATTTAAAAATACTGATTTTCTCTTCATTTAAACTTTACTTTCAAATAGATTTTGATAGCCAATTTCTTATGGCAAGTAATTCTTCTCAGATACTGAATGGAAATGAGAGATCAGCTTGGAGATAAAATTTCACCTGAATAATTCCCAGTGAAAAAAATTACTTTCTGTACTCTGAAGTTGACAATATTAGCATTTGTTTGAATATATTCAATTCTTAAATAAAATGTAATGTTGTAAATGTGGCTATGGTCCTTAACTTGATGAACGATTTATGTTAAACATGCTGATTACCCTATCGATTATCCTTATTTTAAAGATTTATTAAGAAAAAAGTTTAAGTGCCTTTTATCAGGATGTACATATTTCCTATAAGATGTTCTTAGCACCTTAAATCTCTTTAGAGAAAGGGAAAAGAAATCTCATTCTTTTGTTACCTTGTTTATAATAAAGTATATAGTTCTTGGTTTAAAGATTACTTAAATGGAAAATGGTTGTGAGTTCTCACTTCTGCCTATTCTGTATCCCCCACAATCAGAAATCATTTGCAGATTCATTTTATATGCTGTCTTCTGTGCTGTTCACTGAGATACAGAAATGAATAAAGGAGTCTGTGCATTCAGTGAGGTTTTAATCTAGTATAGGAGACAGATTCCTAAACCAATAAATTAGAATACCATGAAATAAGTATAAAATATAAGTGTATTTATGGCATTGAAGGGGTGTAATTAACTATCTTGGGGAGAAGAATGTGGTAAGAGAATGTTTCAGTTAAAAAGTGAGCTCTGGGACTTCCCTGGCGGACCAGTGGTTAAGGCTCTGTGCTTCCATTGCAGGGGGCACAGTTTCAATCCCTGATCCGAGAATTCACATCCCACATGCTGTGCAGCACAGCAAAAAAAAAAGTGAGCTCTGAGTTATATTTTGAGGGATAAATAGGAATTAGCCAGTAAAACAAATTGGGGAAAGCACATTCCAAGAAGGGAGGGCAGCATTTAGTAATTCAGTCATCAGTTTTTATTGAACACCTACTACATGCTGGTTATCACCTCAACAAGTTTACTGCTGTTCTTCCCTCTTCCTGGAATACTAGTTCTCTAGGGTTTTTTTGTTTGTGTTTAAGTTCTTTCCCGTCTTTCTCTACTTAGATGTCAGCCCCTCAGAAAGGCCTTCTCTCTACTCCTACCCCATTTTCCAATGCATCATCCTACTTTATAGTAATGTAGAATTTTCATTACCAGAAACTAATGTTTGTATAACCGCATATATATGTGTGTGTATAATATTTATATAAAATATTTGAAGTGATTTTTTTTATTATGTTTCCCTTCTGTTTCATGAAGGAAGACTTTATTCATCTTGTTTATTGCTTTTTCTCCAGTGCCTAGAACAGTACCTGGCATATACTTTATTGTTATGGCCTATTCACATAATTCTTATATTTGTGTCTCATAACAACCCTTTGAGCAAGATATAGGGCATATAGTGTCTCTGTATTTTATATAGTTAAGCAGCTGAGACCCAGGACTCTTATTTGCCTAATTTCAGTCAGTGGATCTAGGCTTTATAACCATGGTGACTTGACTTCTATTCCAGTACTTGTTTTACTTGATCAAGCTGCTGAGATTTTTTTATTCAGAAACTCAGGAAAAGCCTTCTGACCTTTCTTATCTTTGCTACTCCTAGCAAAATCTTTGGTGTCTCATTTATGGGATACTTATATCTCATCTGAAACATAGAATAAACCAATTCTCCCAGGAAATTGGTTGGTTATCTATCATCAGATAATTCTAACTGCCCTTTTTAAGAACGTTTTTAAATGTATGCTTTTGCTTTTAATTTTTTTTTAAACACCTTTACTCCATCTGTTTCCATGAAATGTGGGCTTAAAGCCCCAACATTTAGTTTGATATACTACTTGCAACTGTTCTTATAAACTGGCTGATTGATTAATGAACTAGCAAATTAAATTTCTAAACCTTATCAACTAAAGTCAGGTACACAAAATAAAGAATTGATCAAGTCCATTCCCGGTTGGCCATTTAGAATAATTTTAGTTCAGTAACATTGTATTTTTAAATATATGAGTCAGTTGTAAAGTTTTATAAAATGTATTTTAATATTTGATATTTGTTTATTTTGTTTTTATAGGCAAGAAAACAGTATATTATTGGTGAAAGCCTACTGGAATGAACTTTTTACTCTTGGTCTTGCCCAGTGCTGGCAAGTGATGAATGTAGCAACTATATTAGCGACATTTGTCAATTGTCTTCACAGTAGCCTTCAACAAGGTAAAAAGCACCTTACTTATTTCCTTTGCTAGGATATAAGGGGGGCATCAGTTTTATAGTATTATGTTTAAAATTAGGTATTAAAAGATACCAACATCCTTTTTACTTTAGATAATTTTTACATTTTGATAAATTCATTCATTAATCACCCCAAAATAGTTTTAAATGAGAGCACAACAAAACTGAAACAAGCGTATTTAAGTGCTATTTCTGATCAGGCCTCGTGAATTTTTTGTACTTGGATATACATTCCAAAGAATCCAGGGTAAGTTTATATAGAGATGATCAAATATTTATAAATGTATACTTCCCACCAGTTTTGTTTTTTTTTTTTTTGGTGGGGGTGCTGTGTTGGGTCTTCGTTGCTGTGCGTGGGCTTTCTCTAGTTGCAGCGAGCAGGGGCTACTCTTTGTTGCGGTGCACACTCTTCTCATTGCAGTGGCTTCTCTTGTTGCGGAGCACGGGCTCTAGGCAGGCAGGCTCAGTAGTTGTGGCTTGTGGGCTCTAGAGCACAGGCTCAGTAGTTGTGGTGCACGGGCTTAGTTGCTCCGCGGCATGTGGGATCTTCCCGGACCAGGGATCAAACCGGTGTCCCCTGCATTGGCTGGCGGATTCTTAACCACTGCACCACCAGGGAAGTCCCCCCACCAGTTTTTAAACTGCCTTTCTTCATTGTAGCCCTTTGAATCCCAAGAGAGGCTAAACTTTTTTTTTTAATCAATTCATCAGGTTGTATTCTCTCACTTAAACGGTACTAAAGAGTCACAGAACAATCCTAAGTCTTTTTCCTTTTCTTGATGCCAAGGTGATTACAACTCCCATTCATTTGCGAAGACAGGCAGGCAGGCACTGATTTATAAATGTTTAGCTTCAGAATGGCTTGTGACTAACCAAGAAGGTGCCCCATCCTCAAGTGGGAAGAACTACTTTTTTGAGTTCAGGAATAATTTATAAGTTGAGAATTACATTTACTTCCTTTGCATATTCCATTTCCCATTGTTTTACATTATTTTTATAATATCTGCTTCCTCCTCTTATTTAAGGGCAGAGAAATAACCTTAAAACCTCATCAACAGTAGATCTACCAGAAGGCAGTACTATATAAACACAATAAATTTTAAAAGTTATAAAATTTTATTTTACTCAGATTTTCTTTGATCTTGGCAGTATTTTTTGCTATTTGTTTTTGTTGTAGTAGTATGGGTAACTTAAAAATCTAGATGGTTTTGCTTATTTATTTCAACCAATATATAAGCTTAAATAAAATCCTGTTACCAAAATTTGAGTTTTTGTACTTTGGTTGGTTGGCCAGTTTTTTAGTCTTTATAGCTTATCTTTTCAAAGGTATATCTTGAAATGAAACATTACATTTAGGGTATTTTTTATTAACAGCCTGTTTTGTTTTTTCTTGAACAACGTCTGAAGATCATTAATTAGTTTCATTTAAACTTGCAGAGATACTGAATTTTAAACATTTTAAAAATTGGTTATATACAGAGCTGGAAATTAGAAAGAAATATATTGGATAAAAATAGTCATGCATTTTTGCTGAAAATTGGAAGCTTTTGTTTGTTTCTTTGTTTTTAATTAAAGATAAAATGTCAACAGAAAGAAGAAAATTATTGATGGAACACATCTTCAAACTACAGGAGTTTTGTAACAGCATGGTAAAACTCTGCATTGATGGATATGAATATGCCTACCTGAAGGCAATAGTACTCTTCAGTCCAGGTATATAAACATTTACTTCTTCTTTAAAATACAGTGTTTGAGGATGTGGAGAAATTAGAACCCTCATACATTGCTTGGGACTGTACATTGATGCAAAGTGGAAACCACCCAAGTGTCCATCAAACGAATGAATAAACAAAATATAATATATAGATACAATGGAATATCATTCAGCCATAAAAAGTAATGAAATTCTGATACATGCCATCATGGATGAACCTTGAAAACAGTATGCAAGTGAAAGAAACCAGTCACAAAAGACCACATATTATATGATTCCGTTTATCTGAAGCGTCTAGAATAGGCAAATCTGTAGAGAGATTAGTGGCTACCAGGGACTAAGGAGAGGGGAGAGTGGAGAGTGACTGCTAATGGGTACAGTTTCTTTTGGGGTGAACAAAAATGTTCTAAAATTAGATTGCGGTGATGGTTGCACAGCTCTGTGAATATACTAAAAGAACTATTGAATTGTATACTTTAAATTGGTGAAATTTATGGATGTTAGACATCTGGGTATGAAAAGGAAAATTGAAGAAATCAGTGAAATGACATCATAGACTTTCAGTCCTGTTCAACACTTGAATGTTTAGATATATTTTGCTAGGTATCATTAAAAGGCAAAAAGAGAGGTGAAGATTGCTTTGTTAATGGGTTAAATTTCCAAACATCTTATTAGAGTTTCCAGCAAATAGAAAAATGGATCTCTTATCTTTCTGCCAGTTTCTAGTTTTCATGTATAGTAAAATGACAGTAAAGCTAACAATCAATTTTAGAATACGAAAAATTGGCTGTTCTCTTAGGCTCTGTAGTTTTTCATTTTGGTATGTATTTCTGTTACTGTGTATGATAAAGTTATCTGAGGAAACCTGCTTCTTACCTTCAATGATATCAGTAAGATAATTAAAGCTTTTTTGTACTATTTCTCTTAATGTTCAGATAAGTTAATAACATGTATCACCATTTTTATCACAACCAATTTGCTACCTTCATTTTCCTTAAAATTGAAAGACCATAGATTCAACAATAGAATTATAATGTAATTTTGTTTTACTAAGTATTCTATTTCTATTTGCTACTTTTTTTATTCTCTTCAGTCAGGGCAGCACTTTCCATATTTTAGGCATAAGTTTTATGAAATTCTTTTAACATTTCCATTTTAGTGAAATATTTATGTAGATTATTTCATGTTGGTATATTCTTTTGATAGAGATGATGTTCAGAGTTTCATAATTTTATAAATATTTTTTTAACCTAACCATGGTGAAAAGAAGGTTTTCTTACTAAAAAAGTATAGAATATAATCTTCATGAGGGGTGGGTGAAATGGGTGAAGGAGGATCAAGAGGTACAAACTTCCAGTTATAAAATAAATAAGTCACAGTGATGTAATTTACAGCTTGGTGACAATAGTCACTATATTATAAACTTGAAAGTTGCTAGAAAGTAAATCTTAAAAGTTCTCGTCATAAGAAAAAAATGTTTTGCAACTTTGAATGTAACAGATGGTAACTAGACTTATTGTGGTGATCATTTTGCAGTGTATACAAATGTCAAATCATTATCTTGTGTACCTTAAACAGATATAATGTATGTCAATTATACTTCAGTTAAAATATATATTATTTTAATTTAAAAATTTTTAAAGAATATAATCTGCAGATATTTCATTGGTTAATAATACTTTCAATACTGTATGCTAACACATATATATGGAATCTAAAAAAAAAAATGGTTCTGAAGAACCTACGGGCAGGACAGGAATAAAGACGCAGACATAGAGAATGGACTTGAGGACATGGGGAGGGCAAAGGGTAAGCTGGGATGAAGTGAGAGAGTGGCATGGACTTATATACGCTACCAAATGTAAAATAGATGGCTAGTGGGAAGCAGCCGCGTAGCACAGGGAGATCAGCTCGGTGCTTTGTGACCACCTAGAGGGGTGGGATAGGGAGGGTGAGAGGGAGACGCAGGAGGGAGGGGATATGGGGATATATGTATATGTATAGCTGATTTACTTTGTTATATAAAGCAGAAACTGACACACCATTGTAAAGCAATTATACTCCAGTAAAGATGTTAAAAAAAAATACTTTTAACTAAGCTAAGTCATTTTTTTGTTTCTGTTGAAAGCAAACTGATCAAAATCCCTTCCACCACTTTTGGAATAGAAAAACCTATTTATTTTATTTGAACCCAGTGGTTTCAGTTTTTATTAGATGTTAGAATACATGTATGAGATAAAATAGTTTTAAGGGTTTAAAGTACAGTGCCTGGTGTTTAGTGGTTGGGTTATTAAATATATTATTTGTGGAATGAAAGAGCCACACATATGATGGGGCTTTTTTTTGGACTGAATTATTTTTCCCACCCCCTTCCATCTCCACTTGGTGCCTTATTAAATGAGTATTCAGAACTAAAGTAACAATATATTCTTTAATGTTTCAGATCATCCAGGCCTAGAAAACATGCAACAGATTGAGAAATTTCAGGAAAAGGCTTATGTGGAATTCCAAGATTATATAACCAAAACATATCCAGATGACACCTACAGGTATCTAGAAGTTAAATACTGTTTAATTAAATTCATCTTAAAATTTTTTGTGAATCTTATTTCATTATTTTCCATTCCAAGTGTAATTAAATTTAGTCAACTTTGACCTTTGAAATAGTTAATGCTATTAAAAGTGGTAGTGTAGTGTTGCAAGTACTTTACATGTAATATTTTATGTAAGGAGACTTTAGCACAGAGAGGTTAAGTAACTCGCTCAAAGTCACACAATAAACAGCAGAGCCAGGTAGTCTGACTCTCACACCCAAACTCTTTCTTCAGTTGAAATAATGGATTTTATTAGTAAAAGGGATGAAAAATGATGAATAATAAAACACCATTAGACTATTTGATAATTAATTTTGGAATTTGGCTTATGATATTTCTAACAAGGTATTTACCATTGTTCTTTCAGAAAAAAAATCACTTTTTAAATAAACTCAATTTTTGAGTAAGCATTTGGCATCAGAGCCAGAGTACGTGGGTTTGACGCCCAACCCTGTCACTTACTAGCAGTATGGCTTTGGGCAAGTTATTTAACTTCTGTTTCAGTTTCTTTACCTGTAAAATGCAGATAATGGTACCCACCTTTTATAATTAGTATAAGGATTAAGTCAGTTAATATATAGTCAAAGAGCTTAGAGTAGTGCCTTTTACAAAGTAAGGGCTATATAAATGTGTTTACTAGTATTATTAATTTAACATACTTCAAACTTCATAACTTATTATATTTTACATATAATAATATTTTACATATGTTAAATAACATGTTTATAAGTCAGATCCATCATGAAAATCAGCTGTAGTTTATCTAACCAGTTTTCCTATGCCGCCTCCTACCAATTCTGTGTATATAGCTCAGCTGGTGGGAACAGACAGGAAATGAGTAGTTTGAGCAGTGGAGTGCATGGCTACAGAAAGGTTACTTAATTCTGAGGCTGCTGGTTTCACTTGTTCTCAAGTGTTAAGAGTCGAAGGCCTTAGAAAAGAGGAAGGATAAATGTGCCACCAACTTTTCAGAAAGGTGGTTCTTTTGGTGTTGGTTTTGTTATGACTTTTTTTTCAATTTTTTAAAGTTTCAAAAGTTGTCTTATACCTCATTATACAAATAAATACAGTATTTAAAATGTTCCTCCTTTTTGACATAACAGCTGCTTGCTGATCTCTGTTCGATTAGGTTCCAGGTTCTTGGACCTCTGGAACTCTTTCTTAGTTTCTTACATTCCTAGTTATTTTAAAATAATACATTATCTTTAGATAGCAGTTTTCAGCTTATAATGTACTTTCACACAAGACATTGTCCTGCCTTTAAGAACCTCACTAGCACAGAAACTGGCAAGGATCATTTTGTTGATTGTCACAACACTGTGAAAGAGACAGGGAGTGATGGCTTACATGCATTCACATAGCTAAGGGGTAATTGAATCAGGATTTGGATCTAATGGTTTTGATTCCATAATTTATGCTCTTCCCAGTAATAACAACTATTGCCTATTTTACTATTCCCAGTACTTTTTTGAAAAGCAAAACCAAGAAAACTGTAATCATTGAGCCTCATGTATCCTGATAACATAAAACATTGCTGTTCTTATAACCTCGAATGAGTTCCTAAGCTATTAAATTTATAACTTGATCCACAGTTTAATAACTTAGTTCCATGGTCCGTAAAACCAACTGGAGGTAGCACAGCATAGCAGTTAAGAGCAAGGCTTTCCAATGAAGTCTGACAGACTGCATATATATCCAGGTGATTGTCATACACTCTAAGGCTTGAGAATACTAAAGGTTTTATTTATTTATTTATTTATTTTTGCGGTACGCGGGCCTCTCACTGTTGTGGCCTCTCCTGCTGCGGAGCACAGGCTCCAGACGCACAGGCTCCAAACGCGCAGGCTCAGCGGCCATGGCTCATGGGCCTAGCCGCTCTGCGGCATGTGGGATCTTCCCGGACCGGGGCACGAACCCGTGTCCCCTGCATCGGCAGGCGGACTCTCAACCACTGTGCCACCAGGGAAACCCTAAAGGTTTTATTTTAAGTTCTGAAAACTAGATCTTTATTAAATTAGGCCACAGACAGTATTCATGCAGAAATTACTTATATCTTTCTACTAAATCACTCTTTGATTTACAGCCTTGTTCCCCCTTCCTTTTGTCTTTTGAGGTTGTCCAGACTACTACTCAGATTGCCAGCTTTGAGGTTGATGAACGCTACTATCACCGAAGAATTGTTTTTCAAAGGTCTCATTGGCAATGTGCGAATTGACAGTGTCATCCCACATATTTTAAAAATGGAACCTGCAGATTATAACTCACAAATAATTGGTCACAGCATTTGAAAGCTGAGATCTCAGTTTAAACTGATTGTTCTTTCTTACTGGAACACAAGAAGACACCAAATTGAACTCATTGCTTCCAGGGCATCTGGAAGTTTTTACTTTAAAGAGTAACCAAAAACCAAGATATTTTTATCTTCCTTAAGAAGAATTTTTGAAGTGACTAGGCAGGTAGCAGGAATTAGAATTTCCCTTCCTGTCTTATTTGAGTAAAAAACACTATGAGTTTATTCTTGGCTGAGATGACACCTAGAGCCGTCACCTCTTGACTAAGATATCTCCTTTTATTTTATAAAACAAATAAATAAGTCTCTCTTTTTTTCCCAGAATTGTGTTCTATTCATGTTTAACTTCATTATGAACTACTACAAACACTTAATGGTCAGAAACCCCTAAGGAGGATTTTCTTGCATTTTACTCTTCTATATTATAATCTGTTTGTTTTAATTACCTGTCAAAAGAAGATTATTTTATGCTCAGTGGTATTATGATAACATTAGAACTATAGGAAATAATAAGTGAATATAGGTATTTTTTTGTCTTTTGTACATATCATGGCAGCATTAGCATATATCACTCTCATTGCTGGCAATGAGACATAGGCCATTTGTGATCCTTTTAGTGTTGTATATTATTAGTTATAAGCACTTTTTATTTATATATGTAGCAGAAAATTGTTTTTGAGAATAAGAGGGTTCATGTTTTAATATTTTTGGTTTACTGTGTTATAAAAGTAGCAGAGACTGATTGAGCCCCAAATGTTTCAATATTTCAAAATAGATATTAAAATTGTTGCTCTTCCATTCCACAGAAAGCGTCTATCATCTCTCCCTCTTTTCTGACCTGCATTTATAGTTTCCTGACCCTTCTGTGGGTTTTAGACAATTTCTTTTAGGTCATTAGAAATACCTACTTTGTGAAATAATGGATTTATTGTAGCCAATCTGTGTTTTCAAGATGAGTTAGACAATTATTTTAAAGCAATTGATAATTTTTTAAGACTTCAGGTTTTTAGCATATAAAGGAATATGCACTGATTTTTCACTGTAAAATGGGGAAGGGCTGTTTTAACAATAGTGTGAGCATCAGCCTGAAGTGCTGCCTTGTTACTACCACAGCAGAAGCATTTTAGGCTCCTTGGATGTCTTCCACAGTAATGTTTTCCTTAGCAAAACCTAATACTGTTAAATATTTCTTTGCTATAATTTCATGATGAATTATTTTGGTATGTCTATTTGTTGGCTTTTTTTAAATATAGAGATTTTATTGCACTCAGAGTACATTTTTTATAAAGATTTTTGCAATAGAAGAGAAGCAGAATTTGGGGGAAGGATATGGATTTTACTAATAGTTACTTTATAGTAAATAAGAAGTTTTAAAGTATCAATTTACAGTCTTTATCAACTTATTAAGGGAAACATTTTTCCCTATTTAAAACATGAATTTTGTCAACAGGTTTATTTATAATTATCAGCTGGGAAAACTACATTTAGTACAAAATACTTAGATGGAATAATCAGTAGGTTTATATCTTTATAAACCCAGTGTAGTAAGCCAGGGATTCAAGAAAAAATTCTTTTAAATAATGTACTAATGGTTAATTAAGATACATGTTTCAGGTATTTTTCCTGATTATAGTTATATTTGGAAGTGTTTTTTAAAACTATATTAAAATGTGACCTGCATTACAAATTTCTGTTTTCTGCCAATATATTTGATTTCAGAGTCCTGTTTCTTCAGTGTTTGGTCATCCTTTTGTTTGTTTGTTCCATTGTTAAGAAATCTCTGGTAAGATTTATTACAGTACTTTCAGGAAGGGAGGAGTATGGAAAACATTTTCATATCCCAGTATTTTAGGATGATTTACAATTCAGTTTGAAGACTTGCAAATATTGCAGTTTGACTATTCCTTAAAAATCTTTCTCTCCTGAAATCTCAGTAAAGTGTAACCACACAATGACAAATGAAACAGGAGAGAAGAAATCAAAGGATAAGAGAGTTGAATAAATTTTTGGAAAACAAAATGCAGGTAAAGAAAGACTGACTTAACAGAGCCAGAACCAAGGAAACTGAATGCCTGCAAAAGGTGGTACATTGAGAAGAAGCCAGTATACCAATGTCCAGAAACAACGTTCAGTACCCGGAGGATCCAAGTGCTCATTTTCAGAGATGGTACTTGGGGCATAAAAAAAGGATTGGTTGCAAATCTGTTGACAGAATCATTGAACTATCTTTCTCTATGCTTAACTTAAGTCAGGTGACCAGTTTCTTTCTTTTTTTTTTTTTTTTTTTTCTTTTTTTGGCCGCGGCATGCGGAGTCTTAGTTCTCCCTACCAGGGATCACATCCATGTCCCCTACAGTGGAAATGCGGAATCTTAACCACTGGACCGCCAGAGAAGTCCCCAGGTGACCACTTTTAATCCTTCAGCCTTTTCAAGCAGGAGGCCAGAGGTTAATAACCTTGAGTAACTAAACCAGAAGATCATAGGATTTATAGGATACCAGGGATAACAGAAGGCTTGGATTAGATAGTGTTGAAAATACGGATTAAGTGGAAGTCTGCATTGAATATGGGTGCCCTAAGCATGTTCCCAGAATGCTGCCTACTGGGTATAGGCTTCTCTGCCAGGATTTTTCTCTTTGGAGAAACTAATCGACCCTAGAGAAAAGATCTCCAGACACTCGCTTTTGGTTGTGCCTTGATAAGAAGACTACTTGCCATTTTATCACTCTTCAGTGAGTCCCAGTATTTCCAAGTCATATATGTCATGAGGTTTCCATTCAGCTTTCTAGTGCCTACTATTAAATATGAACATAGAACCAGGATCATCAGATATTTGAGGAAAATTTCTAATACATAAGAGATCAGATATAATCTGATGGGTGGGGGCAGATACAATGCAGTGATCAGTAAAGTACCCCCAAATATAATTAATATTTTGAAAGAAAGTAGATGTATTCATTAAATGAAAACAGGATGCTTTGAAAAGGAAAAGGAAAATGTGGAGCAAATTTCCTGGAAATTTAAAGTGATAGCCAAAGCAGTTCATTAGAAGGGTTGGAAGATAAAATTGTTGAGGAACGCACCCTGAAAGTACAGTTGACCTTTGAACAACACAGGTGTTAGGCATACAACCAACTGCAAATCCTGTAGTACTATAGTATGTATTTATTGAAAACAATCTGCGTGTAAGTGGACCCACACAGTTGAAACCCGTGTTGTTCAAGGGTCGACTGTATAACCAAAACAAAGAAATAGAAAATGAGAAAAGACAAAATTAGAGAATCAGAGCAGGATGGCTAACATTTTAATAGTAAGAATCTAAGAGAAAAGACTTGAAGTAAGGAAATTATTAAATAATACAAGAAAAGTTCCACAGGACTTGTGCCTCTTAGGTTGAAAGATTGACCCGTTAAATGAAAGAAGATCCATACCATTCTTGAAATCAGAACAGTATAATCAAAGAAGATAATGTATTGCTGCTTCTAGCAGTATTGTGGAATAGATACTCTGAAGGCCTCTGATCTATTGCTGGGCTCACAAGAAGTGGCATGAGTTCTCAAAGAAGCTAAGGTTGTTGCAGGTCACGAACCCTCCCTGGTCCTGGCAGAAGCAAATAAAAATCTCTGGAGAAAGCATTCATAATTTAGATCAGAGTTTTGCACACTTTTCTGTAAAGGGCCAGAATGTCATTATTTTGACTTTGAGGACCTTACCATGTCTGAAGCAACTACCCTGCTGTTGTGCAAAAGCAGCTATATAGACTATACATAAATGAGTGAGCATGGCAGTGGTCCAATAAAACATTTACAAAATCAGGTAGTGAACTGGACCTGGCCCTTGGGGTGTAGTTTGCTGAACTCTAATTTAGAACCTCAACTGTCACAGATTAAGCTCAACCAAATATGAGCTCACAATATTATCACACTCACAAGGAAACAAGCCACTTGAGTGAGCCAGCATAAGCAATATATATGGACCCTGAATGATAATGTTAGATATTGAAATTGTACATGATTATAACTGCACATGATACGTCTTAAGAAGAAAAAAATGGAATCAAAAAGTACGCAAGAAACAGGAACAACAAAGATGACCAAACAGACGTTAAAGCAAGCAGAAGTAACATTTAGAAATTTAAAAAAACTTGGTGAAATCTTAAAAATCAATCCATGGTGAAAGACTATGCCTTCAACACATACATGATTCAAACCCCTTCCTAAAACTACATTGAAGCACAGCCAAGGATTTTTTTAAGGCATTATCTCATATACACAAAAATACTGTGAGAGAAATGAGAGCCACAAAATTTTGAAAGCTGGAAAAAATATTAGTTGTGATCAACTCAGCAGACTTAGCTTCAGTGGGTAAATCTGAGAAGCAACCTGATTTGCACCCAGTTTGGCAATACCAAGTGTAGAGTGTATGGAGCAACCTTGTACATTGATGGTGGCAGTGTCGGTTGATAACAATCATCTCCAGTCACTTTACGTTATATAGTAAAGTTTAACATGCATGTATCTGTTATTTGCCCTAGAGAAACTCTTATGTGTGTATCGTGAGGCATACAAAAATGTTCATGTTCGCATTGTAAGAGCAAGAAAACAGCCTGTACTACTTCTGGAGGAGTAGGAGCAGGATGCAAACAGGGTAGGACAAGGGGCTACCAGAGTGTACGTGGTGCTCCAGTTCTCTATTGCTTTGTAACAAACCACCCCAAAAAGTGGTGGTTTAAAACAACAAAATGTATTGTGCTCTAATCTGCGAGGTCAGAGCTTGGCAGGGACAGCTTATCTGATCCATGCAGCCACAGCTGGGTCAGCTCAGTGGGCAGGGGTTGGAATCTTTGGAATCACTCACACATGTGTCTGGAAGACACGTAGTGGCTATCTGCTGGGACTTCAGGTGAGGCTAAAACTAGAAGGCTTTCATATTGGCTCTGATTTCTGCATCAAAGATGTCACAAAGCTCTGTGCAGAAGTGGCAAACTCCTAGAAGAGTGTGTGGAACCAGAAGTGTTGTAGCCATTTTTAGAAAAGGATGTATCTCGGCAGCCTCACTAGAAGCCCAGTATAGACAAAGGCTTATCTTGACAAGATTTGCTGGTTTGTATGCCTTTTGTCTAATGAGGTTGCTTTATAAATTGATACATAAGAAACTGCAAGAAGTTAAAACAATTGTGTCATCTTGGGCTAAAAGATACAGAACAGTGCAAAGTATAAAGGCTTTTGGACCTTCAAACTTCTGTGGGCAGGAAGAAAGCTGAAAAAACTACTCAGCTACAGACATGGGCTCCATTTTGTGAGAAATGAAGGGTAATTTCCACGTGGCTTTTGGGGCAAGTGTTGATATAGAGAGCAAGTGGAAGCCAGAGAGGTAGAGCTGAGTTTAAATTCTAGCTGTGTCATTTTGTAGCCATATGATTTTGTCATATTCATAATAAAATACCATAAACTGGGTGGCTCATAAACAACAGACATTTGTTTCCTCACAGTTCTGGAGGCTGCAAGTTCAAGATCAAGGAGCCAACATGGTCAGCGAGGTTCTTGTAAAGGCCAGCTTGCATGTTGCAGACTGCTAACTTCCTGCAGTGTCCTCCCATGGTGGAAAGGGCTAAGGAGCCTCTTTTAAAAGGCACTACTACCATTCATGAGGGTCAGCCCTTATGACTTAAGTATCTCTCAAAGGCCCCACCTACTAATACCATCACCTTTGGGGGTTAGGATTTCAGCATGAACTTCGGGGAGACACATCCAGACCACAGCACTCAGAAACCAAGCAGCATTGCTTCCATATAATTTTATTCATTGAGGCAGACACAAAGGCCTCCCAAATTCAGGGGGAAATAAACTGTTCCTCTTGATGGGGAATGGCAAAATTCTGGAAGAGTATAGGGAACCAGAATTTTTTTGCAGCCATTTTTTAAGAAAATCTGTTACAGATAGTATTATATTTCTTAAGCTTGGTTGTACATTCTTAAGATTAAATAGACTTAGACTTTATTTATTACTTTTTTTAAATAAATGTATTTTATTTATTTATTTTTGGCTGCGTTGGGTCTTCATTGCTGTGCACGGGCTTTCTCTGGTTGCAGTGAGCAGGGGTTACTCATTGCGGTATGCGGGCTTCTCATTGTGGTGGCTTCTCTTGTTGCGGAGCACGGGCTCTAGGCACGTGGGTTCAGTAGTTGTGGCTTGCAGGCTCCTTAGTTATGGCTTGCGGGATCTAGAGTGCAGGCCCAGTAGTTGTGGTGCACGGGCTTGGTTGCTCCATGGCATGTGGGATTTTCCTGCACCAGGGCTCGACCCTGTGTCCACTGCATTGGCTGGCGGATTCTTAACCACTGCGCCGCCAGGGAAGCCCTAGACTTAGACTTTAGTATGTATTATTCACAATATTTGATAAAAAATAAATAAGCCTTGTTTAAAAAAATTAGGTAATTTTAGACCTTCAGATCTCCAAAATTCCCTGTATCCAGGGGAGAGAAGTAAGTTCTTGAGAAGTTGTAAGCATAAACTGGCCCTTACATGAATACGTACCAAAAAATTCAGTAAACTATATTGGAGAATGGGACAGAGTGTGTGTGTGTGTTGCAAAACAGCTAAATCCTTGTCTTCTATGTTGGGAAGTCAGATAATGCCTAAAATCAGAAAAATCTAGAAATAATATAAGCATGTAATTTTTAGATATGGTAGTGAATATAAGATAAACAAAAC